TAAAACCCCATTGACCAAACAAGTCTTCTCAAATCGTATAAGCATTTCCTCCAAGGAAGAACAATCAAAACCCACAAACGAACTGAAAACCCTAAACACGAAGCTCCAATGGCAGTTGCACCCTGTTGAATTACCAAATTCACACACTTGAAAAAAAAGCAATTGAATTCGAGCAACAGGAACTGTAGTTAGCTAAATTAAACTAAATTAATAATAATTTTAATGATAATTATACTGAATAGTAGAAATGAAAAGGTGAAAAATTGAAGAGGAAAATAGATAAAAAGAAATACCTGGAGAAAGCTGACCCTCCCTCCCTCTCTCTCTCTCTCTCTCTCTCTTCCTCTGTAACACTCTGTTCTTCTCTCTCTTACCGGTCAGACAGAGGTAATATGTCAGTTTCACTGGGATCACACGGACGGCTCCGATGGGATCTTCGCTAAATAATTGTGGCCAATAAGAGCGTGCCACGTAATCTGTGGAGCCAGCTCACTATGACGCGTTGACACGTGCATTTTCACGGAAACGGAGAGAGCTGTGTTGGGTGCTTGGCAAAGAGAGACGATCCCAGCCGGATATCAAGAATTTCGAAGATTCTTCAATCATATTCGATCATTATATATTATGAGGTTAGTTTTTTTTAGGTGTTGTTTATATTTAATTTTAAATAAAAGAATATACAATAATTTCTGATCGCACGATATACAATAAACGAATATGATTTGAGGATCTGGCAAGAATCCTCACTCATTGGTAAAGACCCCTAGTTCACCCTCTTTTTGACTCTTGTGGTAAAAAAAAGGCAAAAGTTGTTATTTAGTACTACAGTCTAGTAGTATTTTTCTTTTCTTGTAAGTGAGAGGTTGTAGGTTTGATTTTCGTCAAAAGTGAACTTGAACCACATTATTAATATTCTATTGTTTGGCTAAACTCACCTACTCCCCATTAATGTAAACAATATTATTTGTTCAAAAAAAAAACGAAAAGTTGACTATCTTGTCAATTGGATTATAATATAAATTTTAGATATTATTATTTTAGGAATTTATTTAGATATATTAGAACTCATTTATTTGATGAGATGAAGAAAGTTTTAGGACGCAATTTGTAATAACTTATTGAATTAATTTTGGTCGATCTACCCCTAATGTTACCCCCAAAAAAAAGAAGTCAAAATGAAGGGAAAAATAATACTTCGCTTGATAAAATTCTTTTTCTTTATAACGATTTTAACATTTTATGTGTGACTAGATATCGTAAAATATTCAATTTAAAGTGTAATAGGGTAAAGAGGAGTGCTAAATTGTGACATCCCACATCGCCCAGGGGAGTGATCCTTATATGTATATCTCATCCCTACTTAGCACGAGGCCTTTTGGGAGCTCACTGGCTTCGGGTTCCGTAGGAACTCCGAAGTTAAGCGAGAAGGGGATAAAGCAATCCCATGATGGGTGACCCACTGGGAAGTTGCTCGTGAGTTCCCAAAAACAAAACCGTGAGGGAATGGTAAGCCCAAAGCGGACAATATCGTGCTACGGTGGTGGAGCGAGCCCGGGAAGTGATTCACCACGGGCGGAGATGTGACAATTTGGTATCAAAGCCTAACCCTGGTCATGGTGTGCCGACGAGGACGTCGGGCTCCTAAAAGGGGTGGATTGTGACATCCCATATCACCCAGGGAAGTGATCCTTATATGTATATTCTCATCCTTACCTAGCACGAGGCCTTTTGGGAGCTCACTGGCTTCGGGTTCCATAGGAACTCCGAAGTTAAGTGAGAAGGGGGCTAGAGCAATCCCATGATGGGTGACCCACTGGGAAGTTGCTCGTGAGTTCCCAAAAACAAAACCGTGAGGGAACGGTAAGCCCAAAGCGGACAATATCGTGCTACGGTAGTGGAGTCGGGCCCGGGAAGTGGTCCCGCCCGAGCCGGGATATGACATTTGGTATCAGAGCCTAACCCTGGCCGCGTGTGTGCCGACGAGGACGTCGGGCCCCTAAGGGGGGTGGATTGTGACATCCCACATCGCCCAAGGGAGTGATCCTTATATGTATATCCCATCCCTACTTAGCACGAGGCCTTTTGGGAGCTCACTGGCTTCGGGTTCCATGGGAACTCCGAAGTTAAGCGAGTAGCGCGCGAAAGCATTCCCAGGATGGGTGACCCATCGGGAAGTTCTCGTGTGAGTTCCCAAAAACAAAACCGTGAGGGCGTGGTTGGGGCCCAAAGCGAACAATATCGTGCTACGGTGGTGGAGCGGGCCCGGGAAGTGGCCCGCCCCGGGCGGGGATGTGACATAAATTGTTCGGCTTTTTTCATAGGGTAACTCTTATTTATGCATTTTTGTGGGTTGAAAATCACATTGATAAAAAAATAAATATTATATGATACGTGAGCATTGTCATGATATATATGATACGTGAGCGCAGTCATATGACATGAGAATAATAGCTACAAATTACAATGGATTCCACTATTCCATACACAAACTTCAACAATCATTATCCAAATCACAAGACCACTTATTTTTTCTAAGCGCGAGAACTAAAGAGATATGAACTTAAAAAGAGAAATATCATTAGATATGGAAATGGATCTTTGTCGGATTCTTTTCTTAGAGATCTGGAGATTTCGTGATGGTAATTGTTTATCGTACATCGTGCGATTAAAAATTATTTCAAAATTTAAAATTTACAATTAAATATAAATAGTATTTAACGAAATGAACGGTCACAATCACAGAATCCTCAAGATCCCCAAGAAAAGGATCCGGCGAGAATCCTTTTCCATTATATATATACTAAGAACTACTTATTTATAAATATTTATTTGCAAATCATATTTTTTAAGCAGTGTCACCTAATTGTCAAATGCAACAAACAACAACAATCAAGTTTTATCTCACTAAATGGGCTCTCAACTGTACGAATTCTGAAACGTCACCGCTCTTGATTTTGTGATAAGTTTTATGTTAGCTTCAAATACTGCATATCCTTTCATCGTCAAATGTTTCAATATTTAATATGATTTCTACATATATGCAACTGACGATAGCACCCTTCAATAAAGATCTTTCTTGCCAACTAGCTTGTATCGCATGTTCTTGGAGTTAGATTTCTGTGGTTGTGAAGCATACGTTGGCCACATGTTGATTTTGCTTTTCAAATCACGTCATTGTCCATTTGATTGGATTTAACGCACGAAGGTTTGATTATTTGTTCCTACACCACTTATCAGTTCATAAAGTAAACCGTATTTAGTTTGAGACTAGTAATTTTTATAAAGAGTAATACTTGGTAATTTAAGTTTTTAAACTAAATTCGTTAGTCTACATGTATCATCAATTAAAAATAAACACGGTAATTAATATCTAAATAATAATTTAATCACAAGAATTACGTTATTGATCTAACTGTCTTAACCTTAAAAAATAAGACTTAATTTGCAAAATAAGTGAAAGTACAAGTTTGAAGTGACTTGTTGGAGGTATTGAAACAGATAACTTCCTCGGTAAGTATTCTATTGTATTAACTGAAGAGAGCTACTAGACCCACCTCATTGTCTTATTTTCTCACCCACATTATAATCTCACCCACCTTAAAAAGTTAAAAAATTAAAATGCTATTTTCCCACCCACTATTATTCCCAAAATAACCTTTAATATATACATACATATGAAATTATAAAATTGTCTCTTAAAAAATATAACAAATAATATGTAAATGAAAACCACGAAGGTCTGCAAATTCAAATGGAAACGACAAAGGTATCCAAATTTAAAAGAATTCAACAACAACAAATTTAAAAATACGATTGACAAATTCAAATGACTTACACACAAATTATTCTTCTACCTTTTCAATAGAAACATAATCTTTTACCTATTCCGTAGAAGCGTCATCTTTCACCTGTTCAATGAAAAAGTCATCTTCTAAGTCCATTGCTATTTTTTAACTTTATCTGAATGAAAGGAGATGAAAATATGAGTTAGGGTTTAAGGTAGACAAATCGTCTCCCATGCCCAACTTTAAAAAAAAAAAAAAAAATTAAGCAAAACAAGATAATTAATGTCCTTATCAGTCTTTTTGTAAATGGATAAATTTGTAATTAAAAAATTCATTAAAAGATGGGTGTGAAAATAAGACATTGGGATGAGAATAACATCACTCTAACTAAATAATCAATTACACTATGAAGATATATATAGGCTTTGGCTATTTACATAGATACCCTTAACTACCTTAGCTAATCTCTTAACTACCCTAACTAATCACAACCATTAACAAAACTAATTACATTTAGTTTTAACAAACTATTTAACGGAAACAGAAATAGATGACTTGTCATTCTCCCTCATAGGAGGTAGTGGTTATCCATGCATGCATGTCCATACACAAAAATATATTATTTGTGGTGAATACTATTCCTAGAAATTTGGTTCGTCACTTTATGTCACTTTCCCAATATTTTTCTTTCTATTTCTATGACGTCTTGTGCCATTTGAGAAATTTTTTTGGCAGAAGTAGAACAATCTGACCACGACATTTAAAATACGTATCTTCACTTTAAAAAGTTTACAAGCCAGAAATGCTTAATTTCTTAATTATTATTCGAATCGAATATCGTTTAATCAACTAAGTTGTATCAAATAAATCAACAATTATCAATGAATATGCTACTTTAATACCCACAATTCTTCAATGAATATGCTATTGGTACCTACTCATTTTGATTTATTTGAAATATCTGAATGACTAAACTTTTTTCCTTACGAATAATTTTTTCCAAATAAAAATTAAGAGATTAAACAAGTTATAAATTTTATATAAAATACATTACAAGTAAGTAGATGAATAAACTACGGAATCCCAAAGTTTACCGTTACTTGAAAGAAAACAGAATTTTCCGTTTTATGGTTCTTTTCTCTCTCTTCTTTTTAAAATTTTATTTATTTATACACATATGTGGTGACGCGTCGTACAATTTGCATGGCGGAAAATGCAGGAAGAGAGAGAGAGAGAGAGAGAGAGAGAGAGAGAGAGAAGAAGTGGCTGTTGAGCCGGAAAACATGTGATTCGGAACCATTAACCAGATACGCTTAATCGAGGGGATAATTCCAAACCGCGAAAACGATGACAGAGAAAGTAGATATGTGTAAGTTCCAAGCAGAAGAACACTACAGAAGCACCAAGTACAGAACTGGCCATGCCACTTTTAACCCTGCTCCTGCTTTTCCAACCTCCATAAAAATCACTTCCCTTTAAAAGCACTTCTCCTCCTTCTCCTTCTTCCGAAAAGCGCTCCAAATGGAGCTTGGCAAAAGCAGCGGCAGAAAACGCGCCGCCGCATTCTCCTCCTCCTCCGCCACAAGCAACATGAAACCCACCCCCGCGACCGCCAAACCCGACAGGTCAATCGCTCACTACAGAGAGGACGCCAACCTCTTGGCCGAGTACGAGCAGTCTGCCGTCTCCGGTACGTCCTTCCACTACACAAGGTCAGTGCTTTTTCCTCCGGATTCTGTTCCCGAGGAGCAAATCGTTGCCTACCTTTCGAGAATCCAAAGGGGTTCTCTCGTCCAATCCTTTGGCTGTATGCTTGCAATTAAAGAACCCACTTTTCGAATTATCGGTTTTAGTGAGAATTGCTTTGAATTGCTGGGTCTGGATAAATCGGGAAGTGTTTTCGGGTCAAATGAGTTAAAGGGTTTGATTGGGATTGACTGTAGAACTCTGTTTACTCCTTCTTCCGCGGCTTCTTTGGCGAAAGCTGCTGCTTCGAGGGAGATTTCGCTGTTAAACCCGGTTTGGGTGTATTCTAAGAGCACCCAGAAGCCATTTTATGCTATTTTGCATAGAATTGATGTGGGGATTGTGATTGATTTGGAGCCTGCTAGGTCTGGTGATCCTGCATTGTCACTTGCAGGAGCTGTACAGTCTCAGAAACTCGCGGTTCGCGCAATTTCTAGGCTTCAGTCTCTCCCTGGAGGGGATATTGGCGTGTTGTGTGATACTGTTGTGGAGGATGTTCAGAAGCTTACTGGATATGACAGAGTTATGGTTTATAAGTTCCATGACGATGATCACGGTGAGGTTGTGTCTGAAATCAGAAGGTCGGATTTGGAGTCTTATTTGGGTTTGCATTATCCTGCCACGGATATCCCCCAAGCTGCCCGTTTCTTGTTCAAGCAGAATCACGTGCGTATGATCTGCGATTGCAATGTGAATCCGGTTAAAGTCATTCAAAGTGAAGAACTAAAGCAGCCTTTGTGCTTGGTCAATTCAACCCTCCGGTCTCCACATGGCTGCCACAGACAGTACATGGCGAATATGGGCTCGATTGCCTCACTGGTGATGGCGGTTATCATCAATGGTAATGATGGTAATGATTCAACAAAGCTTTGGGGGTTGGTGGTGTGCCACCACACTTCCCCCCGCTATGTCCCTTTCCCTCTTCGCTATGCTTGTCAGTTTCTTATGCAGGCATTTGGGCTGCAAATCTACATGGAGCTTCAATTGGCTTCGCAGTTGGCTGAGAAAAAGATTCTCAGAACACAAACCTTGCTTTGTGACATGCTCCTCCGGGACTCCCCATCTGGTATTGTGACCCAATCTCCGAGTATAATGGATCTCGTGAAGTGTGACGGAGCTGCATTGTACTATGGCGGGACATGTTGGTTGATGGGCGTAACTCCAACCGAATCACAGGTTAAAGATATAGCAGAGTGGCTGCTAAAAAATCATGGGGATTCCACAGGTCTGAGTACTGATAGTTTGGCGGAAACTGGTTACCCTGGTGCACCTTTACTGGGTAATGCAGTTTGTGGTATGGCTACCGCAAGAGTCAGTTCAAAAGATTTCTTGTTTTGGTTCAGGTCGCACACGGCAGCGGAAGTCAAATGGGGAGGAGCTAAGCATCATCCAGAGGATAAGGATGACGGTGGAAAGATGCACCCGAGATCATCATTTAAAGCTTTGATTGAAATAGTAAAAAGTAGAAGTTTGCCTTGGGAGGTCTCTGAGATTAATGCCATCCACTCTTTACAGCTCATAATGAGAGACTCGTTTCAGGATATCGAGGAAACTGGTTCGAAGGCAGTACAACAGAGTGATGCTGAGATGCAGTTGCAGGAGATAGATGAACTCAGTTCCGCGGCATGTCAAATGGTTAAATTGATCGAGACAGCTTCAGTTCCGATTTTTGGGGTTGATTCGGATGGTCTCATCAATGGATGGAATGCAAAAATAGCTGAGTTGACAGGACTACAAGATAGCGAAGCTATGGGCAAGTCCCTTGTTGACGAAATTGTTTATGAGGACTCGCGTGAAGCGGTTGAAAATCTTTTACGTAGAGCGTTACAAGGTAAATCTTTTATTGCAGTTATGAAGTACCATCGTTGAGGACTTTAAAGTAACTCAAATGGAATTTAGTGTTGAAATTTTCATGCTTCGTGTTCTCTCGCACGCGTCTTTATAATTTTCCCAAATGGTATGCTCGTTGTTAACTTCTATACTATCCAGGTGAGGAGGACAAGAACATTGAGTTAAAATTGAGAAATTTTGGGCTTCCACAACATAAGTCGGTTGTCTATATTGTGGCCAACACTTGCACGAGTAGGAGTCCTGCAAAGGATGTTGTCGGTGTATGCTTCGTGGGTCAGGATATTACTTGTGAAAAGGTTGTTATGGATAAATTCATCCGCTTGCAAGGGGATTACAAGGCCATCATACAGTCTCTTAACCCCTTGATTCCACCAATATTTGCATCTGATGAAAAAGCATGTTGCTCAGAATGGAATGCAGCCATGGAAAATCTGACTGGTTGGACTCGAGAAGACGTTATTGGTAAAACACTTATTGGGGAAATCTTTGGAGGTTTCTGTCAACTGAAGGGTCAAGATACGCTGACTAAGTTTATGATTATGTTGTACCAAGGAATCAGTGGTAAAGAGATTGAGAAGTTTCCGTTCGGGTTTTTTGATAGAAAGGGTAATTTTGTTGAGGTGCTCTTAACTGCTAGCAAGAGGACTGATGCAGGTGGGAATATAATCGGTTGTTTTTGTTTCTTGCAAATTTTTTTGCGTGACATGCAACCGGCCTTGGAAGGACACAGACAAGAGGATATAGAATACTTTTCGAAACTTAAGCAATTAACATACATGCGGCAAGGGATGAAAAATCCTTTAAATGGCATTCGGTTTACCCACAAACTCCTTGAAAGTACAACTATTTCAGAAAATCAGAAGCAGTTTCTTGACACTAGCGATGCATGTGAAAGACAAATCATGGTGATCATCGAGGATATGGATGTGAGAAGCAGAGCCGAAGGGTGAGTATTCTTAGTTGGTTCATGATATGCGTAAGTTAAATGTTGTAACCTTATTTGTAGCGTTTTGTTTCTATACTAACTGATGAATTTGTGTGACAACGCTTTGGATCTTATTCGGGTTAATGCAGTAGCACGAAGCTGAACATGGAAGAATTTATGTTGGGAAATGTTTTGGATGTCATCATTTGCCAATCAATGCTCTCGCTGAGGGAAAAGAACTTGCAGCTCTTTCATGAGATTCCAGAAGAGATCAAATCACTATCTTTGCAAGGCGATCAAATCCGGCTTCAGTTGGTTTTGTCAGATTTCTGGCTCAATGTAGTGAATCATGCACCTTCCCCAAATGGATGGGTCGAAATAAAAATATCACCTGGTCTAAAGTTAATACAGGACGACAACAATGATATCCGTCTCCAGATCAGGTACCTCAAACCTAGCTAGATTCTAAGTTCTACCATGCACAACTACTAAATTTGGCATCAGCTCTACTTGTCCTCGATTAAAGTTATAACCGAAGCGTTAAGCTCTAAACCCTATTTTTCATCTCTTTGTGGATGTAGAATGACACACCCTGGCCAAGGCCTTCCGGCGGTGCTCATCCAGGATATGTTCGAGGGTGGAAACAGATGGACGACACCAGAAGGGTTCGGGCTAAATCTGTCCCGGAAACTTCTGAATAGAATGAATGGTAAGGTGCAGTATGTTAGAGAGCACAATAAATGTTACTTTGTCGTTGACATCGAACTTAAGATGAAGAAACAGAGGCAGAGGCTGCCTGTGTCTGAAGCTGATATGAGCACGACTTGAATTCATCAGAGAATTTGTTTGTTGAGTCTCCGTCTACTAATCATTGTATTTTACCAACCATGTTGAAAACAAAATGAATAATATCATGTATTATGTGTACAAATCTTCAAGTGATATTTGAGTGCACTTGTTCTATTTCAAGAGGAAAATTAATTGGAGTTTCGAAGACGGGATTCAAACTTAGGTGTAAGGGGCCGAGTGCCATGCCCTGATCAACTAGTATAACGCACATTTGCAGAAGTTGATCTTGTTCCATATTGGAAAACGATTTGCATGCACTCAAATTCACCTTCTACACACCCCTGACTATTTTTGTCCGCGTGATTTGTTCAATCCAAAAGTAAAAAATAAGCATCGATGTGCAAAGGAAACAAAAGGGTGCGTAAAAATCACTTCGCTTCCCGTTTAAAGATTCAAAATACACATCTCAACAACTCCCAACAAATTGATACCGCCAAAAAGAAGCATGTTTTTCCACCACTATACAATTTTGTACCCCAAGTCAAATAACCATCCCTCCCTCCGTCAAAACACATTTACTCATATCCCTCTATGAACATCATATTTGCAGACTACTAGTCCACACCCCAAAAGTCACACAACAAAAATTGAGCTCAAAATATCAGAACCTGCACAATTGACGACAAACGCATACGGCAGCTGGGAGAATTGGATTCGCCGACAAGCATTTATCGCTCTCTTATCCGGCCGCTAACTGCAGATGAAACAAAACGCTGCTGGGTGTTTCACGTCAAACTCTCTAGAAGATACTACTAAACAAAAGAAGCTCTGCATCGCATCCTTCAACGACTCCTACTTTTATATACTAGATAATGTATATGATAGTTGGAAGCCACAGCCACCACCAAATTCGGCCGTGACATCTTCTTTAATACACTGTTAACTCTTATATGGCTTCTTGTCAAAGCCATGGTCTGGGCTTCCTGACGAATCAGAGTCCGACTCTTTTTCCTGACTGACCTGGATGTTCAAATTGTTGGAAGGAAGATGTTCGTGGATGATCTACACAGAAGAAATGCACAAGATCAGATCAAATATGTTTTCAAATGTATGGAACGTCAAAACAACTCTAGTTTCATAAAGCAAATAACCGAAGAAATGCAAGCACATTAGTCATTAGAAGATTCATGAAGTGTGTACTGTACTACCTGATCACCAGCCTCAGAACCTTCTGAGTGAAAGAGTATCGGGCGACAGCGTTTGTCTTCATTCATTAGGCTTGAATTTTGAAAGTGGGCCACAAGAGCCGCCTTCCCTTGGATTCGAGCATAAGCCAAGGAGGCAACTTTCTCACTATTGAACTTCTCCCACTTCTTTCCATTAAATGCCTGTCGTATTAGAAAGAAACGTATATTAACAACATATCCTGCTCCTTTCTATACCATGCCGGTACCATTTCAGTTTCTAAAAGAGAAGGCTCAAATTGACAGTACGCATCTCACCGTTCAATGAATACAATGATGTATAAATAACACAAAGAATTTAACATAAAATCCAAAACAGCGAAAGACCAAAAAGAAAAAGAAAAAAGCACCTCATAAAATGGGATGATGTGTGAAGGAGACAGCATATTGATAAATGCATAGCCCACATTGCATTTGTTCTGCACATAAGAGTAATATCACTCAAGGGAGAATTGTAGGGGAAATAAATATTATCGAAGAAAAAGTGTCACAACATACTCTTTAAGTAAAAGTACCTTAAAATCAATTGGCAGATAGAGAAAATCAAAAGTACCCCCGTGATTTTCATCTATTGCAGCAAGTAACATTTTCGAGGTGTACCTAATAGACAAGAAGAATATGAAAAACATGATAACGGCCATCAAATATGATAAATATAAGAAATTATTATAAAAGTCAGTCATACTTGTTTGGAATATTTTTTATCATTAAAGTTGTTCGATTATCTTCCCCGGAGAGAATCTTATCCAAATCAAGCTGAAACTGTTTCTTGCTATCAATCTGGGTCCCATTATTATCCATTCGTCTGCTCCTCCCACGCTCAATCAAACCATCTATGCTTGTAGGTGGCAGTCCTGCGTACGGGCCATTACCTAAAAACACAGGGCTAAGCTTCGGTGAGCCCACCATTTTAAAGCTACCTTCAGACATGTTTCCAGGTAAGGATATGCCACCATTTCTAGAAGGACGAGCACCCACGTTAAACATAAAATTTCCACGACTGGGTCCCAAACTCATGCCTCCATAGGCAGCAGGACCCAAAAAAGATGTTTCTGGTGACTCTGGGAAGTAATTAAAGCGCCTGTCTAAAGGAACACCAGATGGGGCAGATCCAACATGATGATGATGATGGTGATGATGGGAAGAGCTGAGCAAAGGGCCATTATGACCTGAGAATGGAAAGGCATGGCCCTTCCCATTGGATGTAAGTTGATGTCCCACTGATTGTCGATGCCAAGCTGAAGAGTTGGTGTTTTCTGAATAAGGAGTTGGACTCCCCCAAAGAAATTGAGGGCCTGATAAAGTTTCCACATGAGATCCACTTGAGGTTGAAGGATTGAACGAGGGCATGGCTCCTTGGAAATGGGTTGAGTTCTCTGGAAATGAGTGTGATTGTTGAAATGCAGATCCGTGGTCTGAGTTTGTACTGGAAAATATATGATCAACATGACTCCCCCTTCCATGGTTATTGCCAATGGGTGCAACCTTCACATTGTTTGATATCTGGGGATGCAGAATTGACGCTAATCCAGGCAAATGGTTGCTGTTTGTTGGACTCATAGTCCCGAAACCAGGAGATTTACTAATACTTTGCACAGGACTGTGTTCCATTGGGTTGTTAAACTGTGCCCAGTTACCTGTCAAGAATGTTGAATTGACCTCATTTTGTAAGAAAAATGCAATACCCGAAAATATTTGTTTGTTGAAGCCATTATATGTTCACCAGTGATAAAATTAATCTCAAACGAGAAGTTACCCGGTGGAGAGATTGTTATTGGGGAACCCACTGGATGTCGATAACTCTGAGATTCATCTTGTTCAGGGTCTTGATTCAGTTGAAGCATCAAGCTAAAAGGTAGAGGATACAATCAATTAAAGACACCAACAGTTGGATCAAACTTCAAACACAATTAAACAAACCAAAATCCAAGAAACCGAAAAGAAACAACATCAGCATTAATAATCACAAAGCAAGAAATCAAAACATTTATATTGTCTACTTACTTTCGACGAGCTCCACCAGGTCGACTGGGTTCAAGCTTTATGCGTTTACCAGCTATGTCACTCCTATTTAACGACTTAAGGGCTGCTTCTGCAGCTCTAACATCATAAAACTCAATAAATTTATGATGCCTCTTGTGTGGTGTTTCCCTTATCTGCTTTATACAATGAACACCAGAAAGAAATGTTAACCGCTTCATACTTTCAAAAGTAAATAAACACAAAGCAAGAAGTAGAGGGGGTGAAGCAAGATACAATCATCACCTCTTTCACCTCGCCATAAGCCCCAAATATATGACGGAGGTCTTCATTTGAAACTGATGGATCCAAATTGAAAACTACCAAAGTTCCTTGATTAATATCCTTCTCTGATGGATTATCCTGATGTTGCATGAGAAAGAATGCAAATATTGTAATTTATATATATTTTTACATATTTAAAATGAGCGTCAAAGAACAACTAACTCAGTACTAGAAAGTTGTTTTGACCTTTGGAATTGAGAAGTGAATATCAAGCTTCCTCCGCCGCAGAGGCTTGTTTTGTAATGTGCGCATAGCAGTTCGAGCAGCACGAATATCATAATATGATATCATCACAAATCCCCTATGTTTACATGCAGTGTACAGCGTTCTAATATCCCCGTATTGCTACAAAAGAGATTAATAAAAACACACATTAAAAGCTGGGTTGTCCAAAATGAACAGCGCCAGATGTTGCATCACATTTATTATTTAAACAAATGTGTTCTGAGATTCACATGCACAATGCCCTATGAGTAAGAGGCGAAACCTGTCTACGCACAAGCAGCACGAAAGGTAAAGAACTTATACATCCAATATGAAAAATAAAAACTAGTGACTAGTCATTAAGCAGAATAACTGAAATGGAACCAAATCATTAGAAATGAAATGAAAAAAAAAAAAAAAAAAAAAAAAGATGAGTGATGGGTCCTACTATCCTTTTATACACGGGAAGGCGTGCCAGAAAACGTCTACTTAAGATCGTTCAAAAACAAATTAATGTGTTGCTCTCATTTGCAGTTTTAAATCAGGATGTGCATCTTATGCTCAATTGGGCGAGTAATATAATCCATTACAATTTCTGGTGAGGGGATTAGAAATCCGAACAAAGGATATGGGTATTACTGGTACGAAAACAAGGAGCTTTGCCTTAATTAAATTACCTCAAAAAGAGTCCTCAGTTCTGAATCCTCAACATTACTATTGATATTTCGCACAAACAATGTTCTGGAAGGATGCTCTCCATATGGATGTTCTCCAGCAACAGCTCCCACGCCATTTGGAAGGGCAAATTGAGCCATCCCGTTCCCAGTAGCACCGTCAGCTAAACTTACTTTTGACATGCCAATTCTCAGGCTCTCCTGTGCATCAGTTTCCAATTCCATGCCGCCTCCACTACCAAAGAGATCATAATCTTCCAAGTCTTCCAGTGAACCAGGCAACCCACTGAGGTCAAGATCATCTGCTATGCCAGCTAACAGCACCTCCTCATCGCCAGGAAGCAAGTTTCCAAGCGCATGAGTTTCAATATCTTCAAGCGGATCGTTACCCTCCAAATTTTGGTGGAGTTTATTTAAGCCAGACGAAAGATCATCAATAGATTGACAGCCTTGGTCAGTACCATTCACGTTCACTGCACGAAATGCAAAAATACATGAGGCATTCCCTACTAAATGTGAATTCTGAAAATCATGACACAATAGCTCACACGTACACTTTGGATGTGGAAGAACAGGTAATGAACTTGAAAAGAGGGTAGCATCACTGGAGGCATTGTGGGCACCAGATCCAGATAAAATGCCCCATCCTCCTCTACCCACTTCTTTAGGAATACCCACCATTGGAACCTCGGTTGGGCCTACAAGACAAATTAACAGACATGTCAAT